GAAGAGAGGGGAGAAGATAGGGGAAGGGAAATAAAAAGGTATAGGGAAGGGACATAGAGAGAAGGGAAAAGGGAAGATGAAAAAAAAAGTAAACAACTCAAAAATTTCCTAAAAAGGAAATTTTCAACGTAGAAAGGGGGAGTGGGAAAGAGTTTTTAGTTAAAAATTATTTTAAAATTTATTATTTAAAAAAATTAATATAATAATTTTAATAAGTTATTTTATAAAAAATGTTTAAATAAAAATTTTCTTTAAATATTAAAAAATATATTTATAAATTTTTATATAAAATAAATAAACTTTTATTATATAACAAATAAAAATAATATTTAAATTATTTTTTTTTTATCTAAAAATTACAATTTTTATTCATATTAAAATTATATTAAAATTATATTAAAGTTTTAATTAATTATCTTTTTTAGATATTAAATTTAAATTTAAAAAAAATTTTAACAATATATCTTATAAAAAATCTTTAAGTAATCTTATTTTTTAAGTTTTAAAAAATATGTATTAAAATTTTTATATTATTTAAATAATTTTTTATAAAGTTATAATAAAAATATTAAAGGTGGTTTTTTTTGTTTCAGACTGTATGTATAACTTTAAACAGATATTTATAATTGCTCAATAATATCTTTGATTTATATTATTTTTATTATTATTATTTTTTTATTGCTTAAATAATTTTCTATAGGCAAGCTAATATTAAACTTATTGATCAATTGATTACAAATATATATATATATATTTGCTCTTAATATTTATGCATTACCAAAGCATTAACAAAAAAATATGAACTTTTAAGCATTTTAATATATATATATATATATAATTCAAAATATAGTATAAGTATATAAAAAAGTTACATTGTAGTTGATTAAAACTTTTAATACAATTGTATTGTTAAATTTAATAGTATAAAGATGTCTTATAAACAAAAAAAATAATAATAATAAAACGGTTCAAAAGATAATAAGCGACACATGCTAGGTTTGATATTGAGTTTTTTCTAAAGCAGAAGAATTTAATAAAATTATAATGACATTTACATTTGAAGCACATACAAGTAAAACAGCCAGTTGTGATTATTAAAAGGAATTTGGGTGGAAATAAAGTGTTTAGATGTAACGAGTATGGACTTCATATTAATAGGTGCCCGGGAATGTTTTCTTTGGGCATTACTTGATAGAACCTTAATTATGTAACATATAGTTGACTATTTTTAACTATAGTTGATCGATCGGTACATATAAACAGATAAGTGTCTATTTAACAGTTTGTGAATCAATTCATTATGCAAATAGTAACTATTATATTTGATTTACCTTTTATTTTACATTTAAATTTGTCAAAAAGCAATATGATTTAAGTCTATATGTTCAAACTTTTTCTCTTTTTTAAATAAATAAAATAAAATAACTCTTAATAAATGTTAGTATTTTTAAATTTAGTAATTAAGATGATGATAGGTGGACTAAAATCCATTTTTTAGATTAAAATATTATTAATTTAATATAAATTAAATATATCTGTTTTTAAAATAATTTAATCAATTAGATACTTTTCAACCTTAATCTGTAAAAAGATAAAAAGCGACGTTAGCCATAAGCCATTATGAAGTTTACAAGTTTTATTGGTTTATATACCTATATGTCATTATTACATCACCCCCAACTTTCCAGATATGTGATTTTATGGTTGCCAATGTCATTGTAGGAGGTAGTACCTAAATAATACCATTAAAAAAACAAAGCAAGTGAGTTACGTGAACGATTTAGATTTAATAAATTTAACAAACCAACCTGATCTTGACAGACTAATTCTAACCACATTTCAGGTTTTATGAAACTTTTGGTTTCATTTTTGTCATCTTTTTCTTCAATATCGATGTCCGATAAGTTCTTGTCAAGGTCCAATTTTTCCACTACATATGCCAAAATCTTTCGTGCACGCAACATACGATTAGCTGTTAACCGAGAACTATTGCTAAAAAACGCGAGTCCTATCAGTATTTCTGAAAAAAAAACCCCCGTATAACTCAGAAAACCGTAGCTACCCATTTGGAAGATCACCAAGGCCAGAACCCTCATGTGGTCTCAAGATAAAGCCTATCTTGGTCGGCTCTTTCGGTGAAATTTTGTTCTTGAATTTATTTTAAAGAATGATGTCATTTAAGAAAAATTTAAAAGCGATCATTAGGGTTCAATTAAAAATCAAGTTCATACTTTGATTAGAAACTCAATGAGCCATGTTGGTGCTTTTTTTTCAATAGTTTCCGCATCTTTATCCAAGGATCCAACAGTCCCTCGGTATAGGTCTACGTAAGTTGAAGCTTCAGGTGTTTCTTCGGAAATGATTATTGTTGTATGAGGCGGTATATGAATTTCTGGTGTCTCATTTAGTGAATACTGAGAAAACGGAGGTTGTATAAGGTGATGCACTTGACGAATGGGCTGGATTGAATGACTTGATCCACCAACATGTTGTAATTTGTTAAGATGTGATATAGATCCTGTAGGCGAGTTGACCTTTAATCATATAACAGTTAAACTCATTAGATTAATCCGCATTACATTGTAATTCACACTAGCAACAGCTCTTAAATTTACCGTTGTATCATCATCTTTCCTCAAATTCGAATCGTTTTCTTCCAGATGCTGAGTAGAAACCGTTAACTTTAAATCGCTGGGCTTGGTTCCTGTATAATTTTCGGATGTGAGACTACCGCTGTCTAGTTTTGAATCCGCATTTGATGACCTCGAATTCTTACGAACACTAAAATTCATGATACGTCCCATAAAGGATGTTGCATTGCTGTTTTGGGATTGATTTACTAAAGCAGGGGGTGGCACTTTTATTAACTCGGATGTTGACAGTGATCCTAGCGATTCCGAGCCTGTCGTACCCGGAGGTGTAAGACTACCAGAAGCTCCGGTGGGACTTGTAGGTGAATTGTGATGAGAACCGGAAAAATAATCTGCCTTCGACGTGTCTGTAGTTGCTGGTGCAGTGAATGGGCCAGTGGTAAAAGCGGCCTGAGGCGTAGTAGGTGGCAAAGCGGTTGTTATGTAATGTGTAGTTGATGTAGTTGGTGAAGTCGTAGGAGACGATGTAGTCTCCGTATTATTCAATTGTCCTGAATGCAAAGTTGCAGGTGGAAATGAAATGTGTTGTGATATTCTATTTTCTTGTAGATCGCCTCGTTTCTGATCACCATATTGCTTTGTCAAAACGTTTTGTAATTCTTCATACGCTTGTATCTCTGCCTTTGTAAAGCTCTTAAACAGATTACGCAATACAACTTTACCGAGGTTAACTAGAAAAAAAATTTTATACTAAATAAAGAAATATCGGAGTGATCATTGCAAATTGGTTGAAAATCATCATACTTCTTTGGTCTTCACGCATGTCCCCTTCATCCATCAATTTTGAATCATCTGCATACATTTCTGCATCAAAGCAACGATTCTCATCAAGGTGAACTGTCAAAATCTTTAAGAATAAAATTAATTTTTTATGCTCTTCACTTTAAGAGATCAACAATATCAAAGCCATTTCGCATACCCCAATTCGAGTATCTACAGAGCACCAATTTGGAATGGATTCGATGGTGTTGATTTCAGACGCAACCTCTTCAATATCTCGCTTACCATATGTTTTGACACGTATACACTAAATGATTGCAACCACAGGACAAATGTAATTTCAAAAAAAATTGTATAATAGTGCGATTATATTATAGAATCTTATCGGTGTATACCAAAATTATATCCCATAGAGCGACCTCTCCTGAATTGTCAAGGGTAAGAATATGTCTTCTATTATTTAATATAATACGTTTTATCAATCCATGTTGACCTTAAATAAAAAAAAGACCTGTTAGATAAATCGATCAAGTGACTAAAATTCAATCAATGCGCTGGACGATCACTAACCTTCCAATATGTCGTCTGGCTCACTTCTAATCGGTATTGGGTCGTCATTTTCTAAATTTTCCATATCATCTGTAGCGAAAGAATGCAACGTTGCAACCTCTGAATCCATTGTCACTCCAGTGGATGTAAGCTTTATCACAGCAGATGAGGGTATTGGCGAAGATGGAGGTAAAGTAGGAGAGGTGGAGGGCGTGCGAACTTTGCAACCGCGGCGTGAAGACACATCTTTCTATATTCACAAGTATTTAAGAAATTGTTCACTATCAAAATGGAGAATCCAGTATACATAATGAAGCAGACACGTACCCATCTTCTGATGCTGGAATCATGTGTTGCCGTCCATATAAATTTATTGTCCAGCGCAACAAGCTGGAATTTACAGAGGTAAGGTTAACGATTTCTTTTTCATAAAAAGTACCATTCGTACCATGAATATAATACGTATGTCACCTTAACGACACCTGCATCTTCTTTGCAGACGGCCACACACTCCCCATCTCGAATCTCCGTACGTCCACTATAATCTGTTCTCGTAACAAATCCATCCTTGCTACCAGCGTAGAATGTTTCCAACCTAGGATGATCAGAGT